AAGTGATGCCTGACGAATTTTTCTATTTTTAGTAGAGATGAAGTCTCTCCCTATTGCTCAGGCTGGTCTTGAATTCCTGAGCACTAGTGATCCTACTACCTCAGCCTCCCAGAATTCTGAGATTTTAGACGTGAGCCCCCATGCCTGACCCTGGTCCTTTCATTTTATGTTAACACTATTTTAGTGTGATACAAATCTTTTATTCTTCATGCCTCCTTTTTTTGTTGTACCTCTGTCTGTTTGATTCATCTTGATTGGTTTCACCTTCCATGATTAGAAAATACTGTGTTTCATTTAAGCATAAATTTTACTATTTGTAATTTTGTTTACATGTCTTCATTTTGAATTTTCATGTATATCTTAATTGTAGGTTTTTTATCTGATTCATTGTAATATTTCAGATATGGTATGCCATAACGGGTTTGTGTGTCCTTTGCCAAATCCCTCCATTTTCCATTTCTTTCCATAGTCATGTTGGCTGTCCTTTGACTTGACAAAGTCACATTTATTGAAATCCTGTACATTTGGTTTGTTTGGAATGACTCTGCACTTCTCATCATGGAGGTCTTTACATCACCATATCTTCTAATAACAATTATGTTTACTGGTTCTTGATCATGTCTTTGATATATCTTTCAGTAAAATATGTTTGTTTGCTCATATATGACTCAGTAATGTGAAGGGTATTCATGTCATTATGTATCATATCTCTAGAATGTTTCCATTTTGCCAAACTGAAACTGTATAGCTGGTATCACTAATTTCCTCCTTTGACCTCCCTCTACTATTTGTCAGCCATATTTCCACATTGTACGTGTGTGCATTGGACTCTTTTGGGTATTCCGCATGAGTGCAGTCACACATTACTTGTCCTTTCGTGATGGGCTTATTTCCCTTTGTATAATGTCCCTCAGGTTTATTCATGTTGTAACATGTGACAGGCTTTCCTTGTTTTTTAAGGCTGAGTAATATTCCACTGTAAGTATATGCTGTGTTTCCTTTATCCATTCATCTGTAGATAACATGATAGCTGCTTCCTGTTCTTGGCTGTGGTGTGTAATGCTGTAACAAGCATCAGTTTGCAAGTATTTCTTCCATAGCTGTCTTTCATTCTTCAGTATGTTCACCACACAGTGAGGTTGCTGGATCACCTGATAGATCATCCAGTTTTTAATTTTTTTTTGTTTTTGAGACAAAGTCTCAATTTGTCACCCTGGGTAGAGTGCTGTGGCGTCACAGCTCACAGCAACCTCCAACTCCTGGGCTCAAGGGATCCTCTTGCCTCCACCTCCCAAGTAGCTGGGATTATTGGTGCCCACCACAACACCTGGCTATTTTTTGTTGGTGCAGTTGTCATTGTTGTTTAGTTGGCCTACGCTGGGTTCAAACCTGCCTACCACAGTGTATGTGGCTGGTGCCATTAACCACTGTGCTACAGGTGCCAAGTCCAATTTTTAATTTTTTGAGAAACATCCATGCTGATTTCCATGATGGACACATGTTTTACAGTTTCACCAACTATGCACAAGAGTTACAATTTCACATTTCTCCACATTGTCTCCTACACTTGTTATTTTCACATCATCAATAATGGCCACCCTAATAGGTGTGGAAAATTACTATCTTGCTGTGATGTTTAATTGTATTTGTCTTATCATTAGTGCACCGTTTTATATTTGTTTTATTTTCTCCATAGAGACTGAGTCTCACTCTATCGCCTTCGGTA